AAGGAGATGGAGATTTGGGTGACTGGATTCTGAATTTCCTCAGCACAGATGAAAGAGGCTTAAGGAGTCTGTCTGCATGGATAAAGCCGAGGAATGAGGTGTCTCTGGCTGCGAAGGCGTGACTCAGGGTGGAGTCAGCTGTCCCCCCATGTGTGGGGAGGCAGGCAGGATGAGACTGAGACTCTTCTCTGACCTCCCCTTCATCACTTCCTGCCCTCACCTGTGGCTTGCTGATGGACTGGGGGAGGGGACAGAGGGGGCTGCTGGCCGATGACCCTGTGTCTTGGGGGCAGAGACAAGCTGCTGGTGAGGCTGGCTGGGCTACAAGGACTCCAACCTGCCTCCAGGAAGCAAATGGAACTCAGCATGGGCAGACCATCAGCTGCACAAAAAGAGAAGCCATGACACCGTTGGGGTGAGGCAGGCAGGGGTCACACCCCCACCATGGCCCGTGGTTCATCATCTCTGAGAGTCGTCCCGCCTGGCTGAGGGACCTTTCTATGAGGTTCACTGGAGATGCTCCAGTGCTCCCACGTCTTGGTTTGGGTCATCCCATTGCTATTGGTTATGGCACCATCAGACTCCAGCTGTTACGTGATGGCTGACCCCCTCAGGCAGCCGACCTCCTTCCTGCAGCCCCCACTCCCTGGGGACACACCACCTGGTCATCCCCAGGCCCCTGGGCCTCTCAGTGGCTGCACCCATGGGGCCTCCAAACCCCTCGGGCTCCTTCCTCCCACACCTGCTGTTCACTCCCTGTGCCCTCCAGGAGAAGGGTGGGGAAAACAGTGCCCTGAGAATCTGTCCTCCTTTGGGATGATGGCTTTCTCTTTGTCTCGTGGGGGTTCAGAGGGTGAGGTGTGCCCACGATCTTCTACCTAAGAGGTAGAACCTGAGTGCCAGGGGTGGGGAAAACTCATTTCCTGTGGGCCATCTTCCTTTCGCGTCTCCAGAAAAGCCGCAGAATGCAAACACACACAGGTTCAAAGTTAATCTGGGCCAGACTGTCCAGGACTCTAACAGAGAAGCTGGGGACGTGCCAGCAGACTCCTCACCTAGCTCAGGGCACCACCTCCCAACTCACCGTGGTGGCCACTGCACCTGCCTCTGGTTCCGGCCCGTGGCCAGTTATTTCAGAGGCTGGATTTCATAACCGTGTGACAGGCCCTCCTCCAGCTGTCGGATACACCCCCTGCCTTTCCTCCCCTCCTTCTCCCACATCCACACGCTGCCTCCTTTTAAGACTCATGTTTCATCCTAAACCAGATTTCTCTTTTCTCTTTCATTTTGTTGACCAGCCGTCACCATGGCAACCCTTCCACCCACCCACCTCCTCTCAGGAATGGGCCCACAGGCAGGGGCTTGTCCTTGTCCTGAGTTAGTCAAAGTGAGTCAAAACTCAGCTCCCACCCAGGATCATTGGGAAGAGCTCCTTCCGTTTATTTCCTTGATGCCAGGAAGACTCCAGCACTGGAGAGCTTAGCTTAGGGCAGGGAACCCTTCCCTGGAGGGCAGGAAATGGGTTATTTGCCTTTGGAGTCGGCTCCTCCAGGGACCAAGTCGGGGCTGTTCTGGGTCCCTGCACACCACAGAATCTACAAGGCAAGATCATAAGCCATCTTAAATATACATTTTTAAGTAAATATTTAAAAATTTTTTTAAATATTTATTTTTATTTATTTGTGCCAGGTTCCAGCATGTGGGGTCTTAGTTCCCTTATCAGGGATCAAATCTTGGGTCCCCTTCACTGGGAGTACAGTCTTATCCACTGAACCACCAAGGAAGTCCCCATAAATTCATATATTTTAAATAAATATATACACACACACACACACCCTGATGGCTCAGCGGTAACGAATCTGTCTGCCAAAGCAGGAGAGATGGGTTCAATCCCTGGGTCAGGAAGATCCCCTGGAGAATGGAATGGCAACCCGCTACAGTATTCTTGCCTGGGAAATCCCATGGCAAAGGAGCCTGGTGGGTTACAGTCCATGAGGTTGCCGAGTCAGACATGACTAAACAACAACACGCATATTACATTTGACAGTAACTATTTGGAAGTTTTTCTCACACATATGATCAGAAACTGCTTTGCTGGGTGACTTTGCTCAAAAATCAAGCCAGCCATAAATCCACATAAGATGGGCAAGAACGAAAACCTTCTCACAAACCTTGCTGTAACCTGTGGGAAGCAAGCATACTGTGCACATTTGATGTCTCAAGATATTATCAGCGTGTTTGTGAGGCCAAAACACTCAGAAGGTGTAGATGTAAATAAATTTTGTAAAAGTAACCATCCATTAATGTTTGCTTAGTGCTAAGGGGGAACATTCCCTTGCTCAAGACTTATATTTCTACAAGACTCATCTTCAAAGACTCAGCTAATTAAGTAATACTGACATTTTTCATGGCGATTGAAGGGAGTAACCCTCCTTTCCCGATCCCTGTGTGCGTTTTGTTTGGTTTGGCGATAGGAAGACTATCACATGAATTTTATTAATTTATAGCCATTTATTGAACCTAAACAGAAAAGCCACTCCTGGCCATGGCGTATTAGGTGTGGTCTCTCCGACAGGTGAGGTCATACCTAATGTCCCTCACCAGGAAAAAGGAGGTAGGTGGCTCAGACCTAAAATGATCAAGAGATCTGAGATCTAAAGTGATCTTGAAAGCTTGATCCAGTGATGACTTCACAGGGGTGTCCACATGTAGAAGTTCATCAACCTGTGTAACTGTGGACATGTCACACCATATCACATCCCTGTAGAAAAACAGAATAAGTGCTCAGAGGGCAAACTGAGAGCATCTCAGTTCTGTTGGCTTCGACCACAGAAGTGTCAAAATACCACCCCCACCCCTGATCTGTGGAAGAGGCTAGAAGGGAAGAGAAAGGGCCCAGACCGCACACCTGCGAAGGAAGTGTCAAAACCTCTGAGGAGATGCACAGGGAGATGCGTGTGTAAGTAAGTGGATATAGGCTAGGGAAAAGCAGACATAGCCTAGCTTCTCTCAGGCTTTGTCAGCTGATTTGTTTTATGTGTTTTGGACTCTCCCCATGTATGTCCTTTATTGCTCACTTGGTATCAGACAAAGTGCTGCAAGTATTGATAAGGTCACCAATAGATTTTAGCAAGTAGGTGAATTCACAAATACAGAATCATGTGTCATGAGGACCCACTGTACTGATTAGGTGGAATTAGTGGTAAAGAACCCATCTGCCAATGCAGGCAGACACAAGAGACAAAGGCTTGAGCCCTAGGTTAGGGAAATTTCCTGGAGTAAGAAAGAGCAACCCACTCCAGTAGTCTTGCTTGGAGAATGCCATGGACAGAGAAGCCTGGCAGGCTACAGTCCATGGGGTCACAAAGAGTTGGATGCAACTGAGCAGCTGAGTACAGCACACAAGAGGAACTAAGGGGGAAAACTATTGTCTATAACAGTGGTTACCCAAGTTTACTCCAGTTAGAATCTCCTGGGGATCTTTTAAAACCCTTATTGGACAGACCACACTCCCAGCCAAATAATTAAGAATCTCTGGGGTGAAAGCTCGGCATCAGTCTTTGTTGTGTTATTGTTTCAATTTCCCCAGGTGATGACAATTATCAGCGATGGTTGAAAGCCTGTGATCTTTGCTTGATCAAAATTAACTGGGCATGGCCCATGGAGGGTTAGGATGGTGCTAATGGTAGCTGCAATTAGAAGTCCCAAATGGCCATTAGATCACCCTGTATACATGATCTATTGCTCTATAACAGATTGCCCTAAGGCTTAGCAGCCTGAAAGGACAGTTACTATCTCACAGTTTCTGTGGGTCAGGAATACAGATGTGGCTGAGCTGGGTCCTCCAGGCTCAGGGCCTCTCACAAAGCTGGAAATGGGTGTCAGATAGAACTACAGTTCCTTGTGAAGACTCAGCTGGAGGGGGATCAGACTCTAAGTTCAGCTCAGCAATGTTAGGCAGGGGGCAGCTCTTCATGAGTGGGTGGACCAGGAGGCCCCATTTCTCATTGACTGGTTGTTCTTTGCTGTGGGGGCCTTGAGCTTTGCCTTGCAGATATCTGTGCACACAGGATACATTCAGTCATCCCTGGGGTTGATCAGTTGGCTGAGATGACGTAATGAATGTCATCTCAGAAATTCACCTTCCCCAAGTCCCTTCTCCAGCAGCCTCATAGCCTGACATTTCCAATGTCAAGATTGCCAGTTCAAAGCTTGATGGAAATATAAGTATTTTAACAGGATTACAGATTATTTTAGCAGGGAAGGCAGAGCCTGTTAACAGCTCATCTCTACCCAGAACTCCTTTCTCTAGTCCTTCATCACTTCCATCCAACGCCAGGCACATGGTGGGGTATGCTCTGATTACCCAGCACTCCTTTCTCTAGTCCTTCTTCAATTCCATCCGAGGACAGGCACATGGTGGGTGTACTCTGATGGGAAAGAGGGAAGAAGTCAGGGAAGGTCTGGAGTAGAGCTTCCAAAAGAGCTCCAGAAAACCTGTTGTGAGGCTGACTGCCCCTCCAATGAGCATGTTTATTCATTTTTGAAATGATGGTTATCTGCTGAAATGGGACATCTGATCTGTAATGTGTAACCATGATCACATGTCCTCAGTGTGAGCTGGACTCCTGGAGTGGAAACAAGTATCCTTAAGCCCCTTTAGTCTGGGGTCGGATCAGTTCTGCATGTCTATGGACTTACTTGACTTTGTCACCAGGGGACAACCCCATTCTGCAATTCCTACTCTCCGTGTGAACATGGGAGAAGACTTTCATGCTCTGGTCTCTGTTTGACCTGGGGTAGGGGCATGGGGCATCTCAATTCTACCAGCTGTGTCATCTGAACAAGCTACTCAAGCTCTCTGGATAGCGGGGCAGAGGCTCAGCAGGTGAAGGGCTTGCACAGAGCTCATCGCGCTGTGATAAAGTTCTACTTACCAATAAGGACATGGCTCATTCATCACCCATTTACACAAATACGCGATTGTGCCTGCAGGTGGCATGTGGGGACGTGTGCCCTCCCATGTGGACGCTGCCCAGACCTGTGTCCTTGGGGAACCCGTGCTCTTGAGTCACAGCTCTGTTCTCAGGACTTCTGGGGACATGGATTGTGCCACCATCACTCCTCAGGTGGCCAGGCTGGAAGAAAGAGTTTTCGCAGCAGGAATCATTCGACAAGTATTTATTGAGCACTTAGTGAGTGCCATGCATGGGATTTAGGATCTTCTTTAGGTAGATGGGGACAAAGTCAGGAAGCCAAAGTAATTGAAGCAAGGTTTCCTTTATATAAACATGATATCTATTCACACAGCATATTGAAAGCTTGCTCTATCTGGGATTTTGAAAGCAGAGGGAGAGGAAATCCAGCTGTGGGTATGACTAGGGCTGAGTTCCCACCAGCTCCTGCCCACACACCTGTGGAAGTGGGCACACCTGCTCACACCTGGGGTCCAGGGGTAAGGGGAGGAGACCTTGCAGCAGGAGACAGTAGATTCTGCATGAGGGGGCAGGAGAGTGACCACAGAGCCGAAAGGGGTCCCATCTGTGTGTCCCCTTCCTCCTGCCTCTGGCAGTGGACTTGGTAATAACAGGGCTTCCCTATGGCCTCCCCAGGGGAAGGACTCACTTCCACTGAACTGCTGCCCGGCAGCCTTGGCCTTGTCCTGGCAGGAGGTTCGAAGTATGTGCAGGGCCCCCAGTGCTCCCAGGCCTGAGGGGCTGTGTTCACCCTCTCCCGGTTCTGTCCCAGCCACCCTTGTGCTTTGCAGGCCTCTGAACGGGTGACCACCCTCCCTAGCTGAGCCAGGCTCAGAGGGACCAAGATTTGGAGCCACAAGCTCTTGGCAGCCCTGACCCCAGAGAGGGTGGCTCTGGGTCTCCCTAAGGAGAAGGAACCTAGCCCGCACCCCAGGGTTCCCCAGCCTCCCCCTGGTGACCTTGGCCACACAGCTGCCGGGGATGGGTGGAGGGGCCTGCAGAGCAGAGAAGGGTTATGTCTCTCAAGGTCTTCAAAGAGCAAAGCCCCTCTGTTTCCCCAGGGAGGACACTCTCAGGGGTCCTCAAGGGTATCCCACCAATCACTGACCTGGGTCGATGCTGTTGGGACAGGCCCATTGGAGGACAAAGTGCTGAGGTTACAGAGTAAACCTGAACAGGTGGTCACCATCAGCCCCTCCCGAGGCCTCATTCTCATTTGAAGTTTAATTTATGTCTTACTGTTTCAGTCTTTTGATGCTAATGTTCTTATACTTAGGAAAGGAGGGGGAAAAAGTCCCACCAGAGGGACTTCCCTGGTGGTCCATGGTTAAGAATCTGCCTGCCAGTCCAGTGAACATGGGTTCGATCTCTGATCCAGGAAGATCCCACAAGGCTGTGGGAGCAACTAAGCCTGTGTGCCACAACTACTGAGCCTGCGAGCTGCAACTTCTAAAGCCCACATGCTCTAAAGCCTGTGTTCCACAACAAGAGAAGCCACAGCAATGAAAAGCCCAAGCACAACTAGGGAGTAACCCCCACTCGCTGCAACTAGAGAAAGCCCACACGTAGCAACCAAGACCCAGTGCAGTCAAAAATTAATTAATTAATTAATTAATTTTAAAAGAGAGTCCCGGCAGAGGAAGAAAGAAGGGGCTGATGGGACTGAAGACAGCCAGGTGGGAGGGAGGATGTGGACAAAAGAAAGGACTCCACAGGGCCAGGTGGACCCCTGATGCGCAGACACTCAGGGCCACCTGTCAGTGGGATGCAGCCAGGTGCTGTGCGGGGTGCTGGCCGTCAGGAGCAGGCTGAGGGACCCGACGCTGACATTTGGGACGGTCACCTCTAAACAGCAGACCTGGCCTGACCCTTGGCCCTCCCCCTCCACTGCTTGACCTCTGGAGGCCAGGGCCCACTCTTTTCTGCACCCAAGGTTGCCTAGGCAACAACTGCTGCTGGCCCCTGGCCTTCCAAAGCCCCAGGACTGTAATCGGAATCTCAGGCAGGCTTGTTCCACTCTACTGGCTTTGAAGAGAGAATGCTGCAGCTCTGGTTTCAGAACCTGCCCAGAGGACACCCCCCAAGTGAGGGAACAGGACCTGGGAGGGAAGGCGAAGAGGGGGACAGCTGGGAGAGGAGTCCCCCAGGGCAGGGCAGGAGGTGAGGACCTTCCCAAGTTCTGCCTTCGGATTCGTGAACAGAAGGGTCCACAGGGGCCTATCTGTGGTCTAAGACTGTCTTGGGCCCAGCCTGTCTTCCTTTGCTGTCTTAATCAGAGACTGGAATAAAAGCATGCTGCTCGAATCCACAGAGGATGGCAAGCAGCAAGGCAGGGCTAACAGGCTTCAGAGGACTGAACTGGTAAAGGAGGCTTTCTTACATTAGAGTTATGGGCCGAAACCAGTCATTCTAAGTGATAACTTATGTCCAGAAACTGTCTGGAGGGTTCTGATAGCTTGCAAACCCCATGTGAGCAGGTCGGAACAGGACACCTTGGAAAGCAGAGGTGACCAGAGCATGCCTGTGTGCTTGCCTATCACCCACTCCCCATGCTGCCTAGAAGCTGGGACTCCCCCTGGCATCGTATGAGGATCTTGGAAGTTAAGGTGACTGATGCAATGTGAACGCAGGCCCCAGTGTTGTGTTTAGAATGCAAATAACTCTGCAACCCAGGAGCTGTTGAATGGTGTGGTTAAACTAGCTGGGTTGGAACATTCAGTCTAACATTTATAAGCTGTGTGTCCTTGAGGAAGTTATTCACCTCTCTGGGTGGCAGTGGTCTCTAAACTCTAATGGCAATAACAATCCTAGGATTTCAGCGCAGTTTGAGCCGGTCGCTCCGGGGGAACCACCTGGTCGTCGTTTCTAAGAGGTCGCTGCCGGTGTCGGTGACTCAGCTGCATCATGCTGTCAAAGAGTTGATGAACTGCTTCTGCCTGAAGGGCCCTAGACTCCAAGTGCTTGGCCAGCCTCAATGCTCAGGCAACTCAACCTCCAAACCCTAGTCACCACTGATGCCGTCAGGCTGTGCCTGGTTCCTCCTGATAGCCGTGAAGTGGACACCCAGCCAGCCCCTGGGAATGAGTCAGTGAGAGAAATCAGTGACTCCTTTCCCCAAGACAGCCTGAGGTTGTGAGCCCCTAGCCCATGATGTTGCCCTCGGCAAGATTCACTGACAAGAGGGCTGTCCCTCCTGTGGCTGGTCCACAGGGAGAGTGGCTGCTGGGAAATCCCATTTTCCACACATAGCCAACAGTCAACCTATGCTGGAGCAGAGGGAAGCTGGCTTTCTCTCTCTATTCCTTCTCTAGCCAGTGGGGCTGTCCCCTTCCCACAGGGAGGATGCAAGGGGGATGGAGCCAGTGCAGACGGAACATTACATCTGTTCCTCCCCCCGTAGGTCTCGCCCAGTCCCTGGAAGACTCGCCTATAACCTGCCCACACCCCACTTCCCTCACTCTCCGAGGCCTGAACCCAGTTGCATCTCACATGGGACTCGAACCCAGCCGAAACTCAGAGTGGGACCTGAACCCCTGGGCTGGGACTCCAACCCACCATCTTTTCATTGAGCTCACACACCTGTCTCAAGACTTAATGACACTCAGGTTCTTTATGTCTCGGTACAGAAAGAACTGATTGAGAGGCTGATAGGTAAGAAGCAGATTTACTGACAGAGACACATACTCCACAGACAGAGCATGGGCCATCTCAGAGGGTGAGAGGCCCTGAGATATGGGGTGGACAACTTTTACGGGCTGGGTAATTTCATAGGCTAATGAGGGGGAGGATGACTCCAACTAACTGGGGGAAGAGGTGTGGATTTCCAGGCATTGGGCCATAGCCCACTTTTTGGCCTTTTGTGGGTGGCCTGGGATAGGTCCTGGTGTCCACGGGTGTGTTGTTAATGTGCTAATGTGTGACAGTGAGCATGTAACAAGGCGCCATGTCCAGAAGGCGAACCTTCTGCCCTCTTGGGCCTAACCAGTTCTAACCAGTCTCTGTCATGAACTCAATGGCTATGTCATTCTTTTGAAGTTTGTGCTCCGCCTTCTTCCCTCCTGTCTCATTGGTGTTGATTTCGGGAGCCACCACTTGTGAGAGAAGTAAGTGGTTTACACAGCGCCTTTCGAGGGTATAGGCCTGTGTCCCCAAGGCCGGCTTCTAGGCCGGGAGGCCATGTCTCTAAACGCTTATCACAAGGTTCAATGCCCAGGTGGATAAGATTGCCTGGAGGAAGAAATGGCAACCCGCTCCAGTATTCTTGCCTGGAGAATCCCATGGACAGAGGAGCCTGGCGGGCTGCAGTCCATGGGACTGCAAGAGTTGGACACAACTGAGCAACTAGGCATACACTCAAGCTCCCTGTCTGGGAACCACCTCCTCATGGACCTCTCCACAAACCCAAACCAGATTCAAAGCAACTGAAACTAGGCTCTGTCTTAAAACCAGAACTCCGTCTCCCCTCTGTTCATCGTGGCCGCCTATGCTGTTTATTCAGTAACAGGTTATTTATTCTGCCAACACTGAGTGTGGGATGTGGGCGCCCTTTTAAGGGCTTTGCCAACAGTCACTCCATGAACCCTCACAACAGCTCTGGAATGTAGATGCTCAGTCTTTAATCCCATGTGCTGGGGCGGGTGAGAAGGACCTCAGCCCGGAGCAGTCCCCTATACGTCACAGGTGCACAGACAGTGAGCAGCTGGGTCAGGATTCAGATCAGGGTCATGAATTCCAGGGTCCCTGGCCTCGCACTATCTCATGGCACAACATGCCACATGGGTCTACACTGTCCGCAAGTAGCCTGGGATCTTCCAGAAGCAGAGACAGGGTCTTCATCAAAGGATCTTACAGTGAAGGCACCCAGAGATGACCTGTGATGACTTAGCAGTGACTTTTACTAGAGGGTTTCCCACCCACCCACCTACCCATGAGCAACATCAGCCCTGGAAGCCAGGGAAGCAACCCCTCCCACAGGAGCTGCCCAAGTGCCCTGGGGGGTGAGGATGGGAGCAGGGAGGAGACTCTGGAGGCCCCTGGCTGACCCCTCGGAGACCTGTAGCTACCACACCCCCTCCAGCTTCCCCAAGGGGAAGATGGCATCTTCTCTTCCATTGTTCTCTGAGGAAGTCTGGCAGCAGCACAGACAGCCTGCCTTCCAGGCCCCACCTCCTGGAGCCTCACCCGCAAGAGTCCCCAGATGCCCTAGAGTCCCCGCTGGA